TGATCCTTCCATTTCTTGTCAGTGAACCAAAAAAGCTATGCCTCACAATCTTGTGTTGGTGACACAGTACAGGAGTCTCAAATATAAAACAACAGTCCTTGGGAGGACTGTTGCTTTGTTTTTCTCCTTTCTTGCCAAGACCAGTGTTGATAAATGTGATTAAATTATGGCCAGTTTTGGTTGTGAACTTCCTTTAACACAACATGGTCTTTCTCCCCAGGATGCAGATCATCATTTTAACCACCACCACCCCTGCCCAAAAAGCCACTGTGGTATAGTTATTGGGCTAAGATCAGGGAGTCCCTAGTTCAAGGCTACCCTTAGCTACGGAAGCTCACTGGGGTGACTTGGGCTGAGTGTTCCTTTTCAGTGCTATTGTACAAGATGGTGGTTGTAGGGAAGAATTGGAGAAGGAAGCGCTATGTAGACAGTCTGAACTCTTAGAGGTAAATCTAACATCACCATCAGGGCAACTGAGTAGTTGCATTCAGCCCCCATCACCCCCTTCAGAAGAGAAACAAATTTAGGATAGGAACACTTGATTTTTGTGAAAATAGACTTTAATATAATAAATTATTTTTTAAATAAAAACATAGCTCATCCAATATCCCCACTCAGTAACCCAAACTGAACGAAACAAGAATGATTCCTTCTCCCAACAAACATGCAGAGGTACATTGGCTGCAAGAATGGGGGACACATTTATTAACACACACACACACACACACAAATCTCTCAGCCATGAAATAGGTGTCACCTCCATATAAGAGGTGCCCCTTATGATAGGCTTGGTACATGGGCTGGCACTGTGCCCACTGATCCTCACCATAAGAACTGCTTGGTTTGGGAGCTGGAAATCTTACAAAGGCAGACTGCAGGAAAGGGCCACTGGCCCAGTTTGGGCTGCCTTCTTAGCTTAGCATGGCAGTAACTAGGGACAAGGGGTAAACTCTCACACTTGTACATATCAACAACTTAATCCACCTTTTCAGCCATTCTTTCTCTCTCTCTCTTTGAGTGTTTCTCCAGTGGTGGACATTTGCCTCAGAATTTCACTTCAGAAGAACTTGGATACCAATTTTAGGCCCAACTTTGACCCAGGCAGAGAATTCTTCTACCAAGATAAGAACTAAGATGCCATTCAGAGCTATTGGAAAGACAGGCTATGTTTCCACAGTACAGTACAATCTGCATTTTTATATTTTCTTGGGCATAGGCTAAGTGAGTTGAACATCTCTTATGAAATGAAGTAAATGTGACCCAAGTGATGGTCCATTTAAGTTAAGCCACAGGTCAATTGGTAGTCTCAGTGTCAATCATAGGCAGTGATCAAGAATTGTTCTAGGCAACTCTGAAGCAGAAACTCCAAAGGATTATAAATTATACATGGGGTGTAGAAGAGAGCAGCTTTCCATAAATAGATACTTTCCAGAGTTGTTGGAATTGCAATTCTTAGGATTTTCACCCCAAAAGTTCAAAATTGGGAATGGAAGCTGTAGTCCCAAAGTATCTGGAAACTGCCAAATTAGGGAAGGTTGAATCAGCAAGCCTTTACTTCCAAGCTCAAAACACCAACATTGGGGAACGATCAATGCTGTTGACAGGCAATAGATTCAGGACAGAGTCCTTCTCAAAATACATAATTAATTTATTCTGCAAGATGTGGTGATGCTCACAGGCTTAGAGGGTATTAAAGGGGGAATTAGTCAACTTTATGGAACAAAAATAGAGACCCTCTGAGATTAGATGGTTCAATGAAACCTTTCACTTTCCAGTACTGTGCACCTGTGAATACCAACAGCTGAAGGCAATAGCCCAGGAGGCTCCTTACCTTTATGCTCTGACTGTAGAGTGTAACTGGTGGAAAATAGAAAGTTTACTTAGTTGCGTATCTAGTAAAGCAGTTCTAAATGGGCGGTTGGAACTCTTCTCGAGCTGCATATATTCCTCAAATCTGTAGCCAGAGATCTGTGTAAGCACCATCTCCATGCCTTGCAAGATTGCAGCACTTTTGAGATTTTTTTCCTATGTAGGAGGCAAATGCTATGATCTATAGCCTGGCCGCAGTACAGCTCTTTGGCGATGCGAGTGGTCCCTAACTGAGGGTGAGCCTGGCTGGCTGATCCACTCATCTTTAGCAGGTAACACTCTATGGACCAGAAGGTGGTGGGCATGTCATAGACTCAGCCTCCCTAATGAAAAAGCAAAGGTTGCAAGCTGGGGTGCAGGGTGGGGAAAAATCTCCTTCCTGGAAGCTCTTGAGCGGCTGGGTAATTTGGCTGCTTATGACATGCTGCCCCCAGGTCTCAGCTGGCATTGTGGGAGCTCCCAGGACATTTCTGGAGCAGAAGTGGAGATTTCCCCATACATAGGAGACTTCATAGGAGCAAAAGTGCTGGATGCAAGATATTAACGAGATTTTATATTCAGAGCTTCAAGCTGTTTGAGTGTAACGCTGGAAAAACTGTGAGAAAGATAAAAATACATGTGAAATTCCACTAGCTGATTAGTGGTCTCCCCACAGGATTATTACAGTAAATTATTTATCTAGTGGTACTGTATGGAGTTATGTACCTCAAGGCAATCAATAGGTCCTCAACTTACCATCAAAGGGTAAAATGTACTTGATTTCTACTCAGAGACAGAAGTGTGCAAGATACCAGTTTAGCATTGGACTACCGCAAAGAGAAGTTGCTGTGTCAAAATGAGAATCCAGATGAAGACAGTTGTGTGAATCTTCCACTGGCAAACACGAATGACTCCTGGGCAGGAACTCCCAGGTAATATCTATTCAGCCACCCTTCAGCCAACCCCACCCAAATTAGATCCTTGACTGTTTCTTTCTGGGAAGGACAATCCTCAAAGAAAAAAAAATGTCGAATTGCAACAGGCTGAGGAGAGGCAATAAAAGAAAGTTCTGGATCAAGAGTGGAGAGAAGTGATATGCTGAGAGAAAAGGTCTAAGAAAGCAGCTTTGATTTCCAAAAAAAAAAAAAAAAGGAGATACTTTCTGGAAGAAAGGTAAAAAGGAAACATCCACTGAACTACATTACAGCCAATACCACACACTGGAGAAGAGATTTTGAGCAACATGTTTCTACAGAACCCCCTTTCTGGAGCTCATACTTGCTTCACAAACCACTTGACACATCTTGCAATCCATGGAAATTAATGCTATTATGGATTACATTTCTGATCTTCATAATTCATTCCTTTTTTATTGCAACATTCTTCGGCAGCTGAGCTCAGCACCATTCTTCTTGCTAGACCTGAGGTGGGTTTTTTCCCCCTTCGAGAATAAGTTCTTCTTCTTCTTCTTACCCTGAAGGGCGGGTCTCAGGGTTGAGAGGCCCAAGAGACACCCAACCCTGAGAATCTGAGGCAGTGGACGCTCCAGGTGCTGAGCAAAAATGGAAGGTGTATCAGATGATCTACTGGATACCACTGTGGAAGGAAAAGGAAGTGAGGAAGGAAACAATATATTCCATGCATCTCACATTCTGTCCTTAGCTCAACAATGGATACTTCAATGTCCAAAATAATTTCAAACCTTAAAAATAAATCTGATATCTAGTTCAGTTTTAACTAGAAAACATTCCTAGACTATAACATGGATTTGTACCTCATTCAAATTTAGGTTTTTCTATGTACAGAGTCTATATTTTAACTTCATGGAAAATTCCAATTTGAATAGATTCTCAGAACTGACTCAAATTATTATTCTTATATTTTCAGTCAGTGATTTATACCATGTTGATGATGGTTCTTAATACGTATTCTTAACTTAAAGCTTAATAGTGATTCCTACTTTTTAAAAAAATGATATAATGCATGTTATAATTCATAAGTAATTAATGATATATTGGAAAACTGCACTGTCCGTGATATTCTAGATCCCTTGTTTATCATTCTGTATTTTATTGTTTCTATCTTACTTTTTTATTCTTTTTACATATCTTGTATCTCTCTTTGTTTATACTCCTCTAAAATATTTAATAATCATTAAAATGCATGCAGAGAGTGAGGCCACTGGACTGACTGCCTCTTTGCACGTTTACTCTGTCGGAAACATTCCTAACAACATTGCTGATGGCCATTTC